GCGGAGCTTGCGAGAGCGGTGGCCACTATGAGCGGCCGCGTGCGACGGTGGCGCTGCCATACCGGCCATCCTAGACCACCGTGTAGCTATTGGCTAGCGTGTGATCAACCCTAGCTTACCCCAGTCACGGCTGTAGTGATGGTTGAGGGAACGGTCAGCTGATAAGGGCTGGTCGCGCGCGACCGGAGGGGTGCGGCGGCGTAGCCATGTCAGCAGCTACGGCGAGGCGGTAGAGGTGCAAGCAAGGCATGCAGGGTGAAGTGGATGTGGAGGCAAAGCTCGTGAGGCAGGTGGATTGGCGTGGAGTGGTGCCATGGGTGACTGCCCTCGTCCACGGCTGAGCCCGGCCTTAATGGCACGGCGGAGGGAAAACTCCAAAATTGGAGCTTGATAGGGCTCAGTTAAGACCGTACGTGGACTTGGCGCGTAGCTAGGTTCCTTAATTGACATCTGGCACAAGTAATTGTACAGAGATTGACCAGGCGCTGCTGGATCAGCTTCGACGTGACGTAGCCTTGTCTACCCGCCTTCAGTGGCGATGACTGCTCAGCACTGGCGGTTTCCATTTAATGGAAGATGACAAGGGCGAGATGGTAACCAACTGCACGTGTGGTGCAGAGCGAGGCTAGCAATGCATGGAAACTCTGCGTCGCCTCGGGGAGCGGCTGGTCGCTAGCGAGGACACGCACGCGTGCGGGTGTCACAGCGGTGCTATTGGACAACACGACACCAGGATAGAACGTGCGCGGTGCTGCGGTTACAGGCTCGACCATGTGCTGCCGTAGCACCATGAGCGGGACGACGACGAGGCAGCGGGACCCGAGGAGGGCGGTGCGCACAGCAGCGGCGATGCGACGGCAGCGGCAGCAACATGACACAGCGGCAGGATGGCCAGGCGCAAGTGAGTGGCGGGCGTGGTGGCTCACGGTTGGCGGCTAGCGGTGTGCCCACAGTGGCCAGGCTACGGCAGCAGCAACCGGCCAGTGTGGCCACGTGCGCACGCGCCCAGCGCACCGACTCCATGACGTCGGGGCTGGATGGCCTGGTGATCGCGCCCAACAAGAGAAGACGGCCCGAGTTCATGTTATGCACGGATTTTAAAGCGTTCAAAACGTCTAAACCGTTGATCTAATCCCCAAACCACTTTTGCTATACCTCAGAGGGTATATTAGGCTATTAAAACATGCCTTAATACTACCCTACTCCTTAACCCAATTTCTCTAAAAAAATTGGTAAACATCATAATGCCTAACCTTCCAAAAGTTCATGAAATTTTCTAAGTGTTAAATGGATTTCTATTTCTAGTTGCACTTTCAAGCTATTGAATATAGTACTTAACAACATTATCTCTCAACACCAAGTATTTCATTGTCATCTACAAATCTCACATTTTAAACTTTATTAAGGTGTCACATATATGTTTTATAGTATTTTTATTCAATAAAAATTAGTTAACATCTCTACTTGCTAACTTTACAAATTATGAATTAACTTTTCGTTTTACGTTTTTACGACTCGTTTAACTTACAATGCTTTACCTATCCATCACACCACATGCAATATTACTTAAGTATGATGCTCATGACATATTTTAGTAGATGATTTACGGTGTAACACCGAGGGTGTTACAACTGCGTCATCTCGGGAGGCCACGCCGCCATCCACTTCGACTGCATCATTCTGAGAGACTGGGCGCTAGAGCAGCTAGTGACCCACGATAGGGCTGTGGTGCTGGTCAGGAAGTTCACGGACAAGGGGAAGGTGGTGGCCAACCACCGGCGCCATTACAACATGCATGTGCAACACTTGATCTACTTTTAAGACATCCAAATGAAACAATTGCAGCATACGTCAGATGAAACACTTGAAACATGCATCTGAAATACTAGCAAAAACACATAAATACACATGAAAAGCCATTGCAAAACCTATGCAACATCCAAATAAAACACTTGCAACATATGTGTGAAATATATGCAACATTCAGATGAAACACTTGTAAACATACGTCTAAAAACAGATAAAACATTTGGAACATACATTTACAACAATCATGTATAGCTATTGCAACATCCCGATCTACTTTTGCAACATCCATATGAAACACTTGCAACATACCTTTGGAAACATTTAAAACATACGCTTGTAGCACAATGTCACCTTGCTGCTTGGACCAATGGAGGTTCTTTATTGTGGACCTTGACGCTGACGCGGAGGTCGGCGACGTGCATGGAGCTCGCCGGTGCAGTAGCGGCGCGGGCAACTCGCCGGCGGGCCAACGTCACACGAAGATCCTCCCCTAGCTTGCTTGCTGAAGCATCTATTGTGGAGGCTCACCGGCTCGGTGGAGGCGGCCGCAACGAGCGGGCAGCGCGGTCGAGGTGGCCGTGGCGGGCGGATGTGCGGTGCAATCGAGTGGCGCGGTGCAGGTGAAGCACGGTAGAGAGATTATTTTTTCGTAAGGTGCGCGGATGGGAGCGAGCGAACGCGCGGTAGCGAGTGGGGAAACCGTGTCCGTCCGTCCAGACGCCCTTACCAGAGCATTAGCGTTTTTTTTAAGTTTAACCGTGATTGGAAAAACATGAAATTGTTTGTTAGAAAGATCGAATGCTATAATAAAAAAGTAAAAATAGGAGATCCCGGGGGAGGAGTACTAAATATGAAGGGACAGTACAAGAACTATCTTTTGTTGATATTTTTGTTTTTTATTAAAAAAATATAGGCTAACTAGGTAATTTCACGAGAAAATTTCTAATCCATTTAAACATTTTTGCCTCAATATTATGTGACTTAATGAATTGGCCGGAGATTTGAAATCGATACAGGCCACATGTTTCTCCTATTTGTCCTCTCGCTAGTGCGTTCCTGCCAAGCTGTCCACGCCAACGAGCATCAACTGCATGTAGACAGGCTCCACTCCAGTTGCAGAAGCGGCTCGCTCGCGCTCCTCACCAACGGCGTGGCCGGCTGCCCGCGGGGGCTGCAACCATATCGGTGGCGGTCAGCTCGGGAGGTTCATGCCGTTTTTTACGACTGGGTTGGGCTCCCGGAACAATACGTACGCGCTCGCTGGAATAATATCATACACGAGGCCATCCAGTTATATACAAAAATATTGCATAACATATTGATCTATCATCTATATTTACTAAAATTATTTAATAACTTTTTCCCTCAAAAGAATTATTTAATAACAATATAACGTAAACGTGAATGGAAAAGCATTCAAATGTCATGCACCGGTGGCGGTGCATACTTTAGCATTAGAATATTTTTAATTGGACGACCTTTTATATGAAGTCACAACAGGCCAGGAAAAAGATTCTCGAACAGTAATGCCCGGTAAATGAAATATTTATCCTCGTCGCCCCTCAAGACTCTGAAAGTAGTTTTAACTGTGCTCATCTATATTTTGTTCATCTTCGATCCGCTTGTTTGCACTGCTACACAAAGCTCTCTATAGAGACGGCCCTCTATTTTTCTGTCTTAGCAAATCAAGTCGTCCCTACAAATTAGATTTTTAGAGGTGGCTAGGAACAAGAGCCGTTTTTAGAAATTGATTTTTAGAGACGGCTATAAATACAGCCGTTTCTACTAATTGTTATTTAGAAATCATAAATCTGGACCTAAAATTAGGAATTTTTTAATTCGGGGGAGACCCCCCACACGCGCGCCGTCACAAGTCACGGATAAATCGTTGTCAAGAGATCACAGACCTGGCAAAAAAAATAGTGATTTTTTTAATTCTTGCAAACCCCACTAGGCAGCCACACACGCACGCCGTCACAAGTCACGCGATTTTCTGCCACCTCAGGCTTCATGGTGTATCTCCTCGAATCACTCCATCCATCAACCACTTGTATCCATCTGAGATATTCTTTCTCCTTGTTTTATTTTTATCTGATTTTGAAATGAGTATTTGAGACCCTAAATATATTCAAATAAAAAGCTATCAACTACAAAGTTGTATAACTTTTTGAGATATACAACTTTGGTTTTGGTCATTTCTCCCTCCACAGTGGTTTGAAAATTTTGGATTTTAATGTACAACTCCTAGTTTTAAAGGCGTTTGAGCCGTCTCTAAAAATCATTTCTTAGATGCGGCCGGAAATAGAGCTTCCTCTAAAAATAGAGGTGGCTAAAAGCAAAATCCGTCTCTACAAATGTATTTGTAGAGGCGTGTGAGGTTGATCCGTCGTCTCTATAAAAGAAAAGCTCTCGGTGCTGAAAATCATTTCTGTAGCTAGTAGTGTTATCTTCATTTTTAATAGGAAAATGGATGGTTTATAATTTGTTATAATAAACTAATAGTAGTTTCGTGTAAAATTTTAAATTCTTGCTCACCGATATAGTATATATAAGCCAATACTGTTACAGTTTGTTATCGCCAATCATTACAGACGACGATACAGGCCGCACCCAATACGCCATTGGATGGCCCTCCCGAAAACCGCAAGTTCATCTCTTGCTACCCCGAGCCAATGATATCCATGTTCCGCAATAAAGGAAAGGATAGTGTCAAGCAAATTTTGCATGAGCAAGCAAAAGATGCTTGGCTTGCTTCACATGCATGGGGATGAAGTGAGATCAAGCTTGCCCAACAACGCCAGGGCCGGAGTGATGGGCCGGGGAGTGAGCAGTGACGTGCGTAGTAATTAATAACCTGGCAGCAACCATCTTTTTTTTTTCTTTTTAATTTCTTCTTACATTTACAAGCAGCTAAACCTGAATATACAAAATTTGTAGCGTGAATGAAAATCAAAAGGATCCATTGCTTGGCCTAACTTGCGTAGGTAGATCGGTGCAAGTGTGCTGTATGGGCCTAATAACTGTGTGTGAGGGTCAGCTGTTCATCGATCAGCTAGCTTGCTATCTCTTCTTCACACTATAAATACGGTGCCTAGCCATGGCAATTCGCATCACGATCGAGTTCGAAGAATTCGGAGGGAGAACACACACAACACATACAGTTTGCGGTAGGAAGGATATATCGAGCTAGCATGGCGGTGAAGGTGTGGGTGTTCATCGTGGCACTGATGTGCATCGGTGCAGTAGGGCTTGGAGCTGACGGCGGCAGTGCGGCCAGCAGTAGGGATGGCTGTCGTCGTCTGAGGTCGCCCAACTACCATGGCGCTCTGGCAAAGGCCATCCTGTTCTTCGAGGGGCAGCGGTCGGGGCGGCTGCCAGCGAACCAGAGAGTCAAGTGGCGCGGGGACTCGGCGCTCACCGACGGCCAACCCGAAAACGTGCACTGTTATTTGCTCTTTCTTTTAGCATGGATCGATCGCCATTTCTGAATTTGCATTTCCCAAAAGAATTGAATTAAAGCTAAGTTTGTCGTCGTCGTTGCTGCTCCATATACATGTATATATAGGTGAACTTGACGGGCGGCTACTACGACGCCGGAGACAACGTGAAGTTCGGTTTCCCGATGGTGTTCAGCGTCACCCTCCTGAGCTGGAGCGCCGTCGAGTACCGCGACGAGGTGGCGGCGGCGGGCCAGCTCCGCTACCTCCGGTCCGCCATCCAGTGGGGCGCCGACTTCCTCCTCCGTGCTCACACCTCCCCGACCACCCTCTACACTCAGGTTTACATAGTAGTATATGTATATCTATTATCAACCATCAGCTGATGATGTTGTTGATCTTTTCTAGGTTGGCGACGGCAACGCCGACCACCAGTGCTGGGAGCGGCCAGAGGACATGGACACGCCGAGGACGCTGTACAAGATCACCCAGAGCTCGCCCGGGTCCGAGGCCGCCGGCGAGGCCGCGGCGGCGCTCGCCGCCGCGTACCTGGTGTTCAGGGACGACCGGGACAAGACCTTGGCCACGCAGCTCCTGGCCGCGTCCAGATCCGTGCGTCCTCACGTTACGCCTCATCTTACTGTTTTTTTCCTCGATCCATGCATGCACACGCACGACGCAACGCACGCACCCTATCCGGCCGTCGGAGTATCGGAGCATCTGGATTTCCGTTGCATGATTTGTTGTTTCGTCTGATTTTGATAATACATCACCACTAAAGTTAACAAAGCTTTAATTCCACGAGCGAGCAGCATCTTGCGTGCGTGCAAAGACCCTGTCACCAGTCCTCACAGTAAAATCTCGACCTCGACGAACATTTTTTGGTGAATCTTGGGCATGACACTGAACATTTTTGGTGAATCTTGGGCATTTTAACTTTCCAGTAATGCCAGTTACCCTGCAATAATCCTGTAATTTCTTTTTGGTGAATCTTGGGCATGATACTGAACAGCATTTTTTTTCTTTTGTTCTGGAAATCTAGAACTTTCATACCGATATTTCAAACTCTAGTCCATCTGACAAAGATTAATTCACAGATTAATAAGAACAAAACCCAATTTCTTTGAATTAAATATGCATGCATGCGCTGTTTTCTGAATAGCAGTAACTGTTTTTTACTCCATGGTGACCAACATATATCTGATATATATCAGCTCTTCGACTTCGCCAACGACTACAGGGGATCCTACCAGTTGTCCTGCCCATTCTACTGCTCCTACTCTGGCTACCAGGTGGATTATATATTAACCGTCGAATGAATCACAATTCATGCATCTTTTAGCCCTCATGCGGTTTTCGTTTACCCCTCTGCTTGTACCCCAGGACGAGCTCCAGTGGGCGTCGGCATGGCTCTACCGGGCAACCAAAGACAGCAAGTACCTCGACTTCCTGCAGAACAACCAGGGCGGCAGCGCCACCGAGTTCAGCTGGGACAACAAGTATCCCGGAGCTCAGCTGCTTGCAACACAGGTAACTAACTTGATCATCTTGCACATCCCAAAGTCCCAACTGATCATTATTCATTAGTCACTAACTTGATGAACCTCTGGAAGACGTTCATGTGCATGCATCACCAACTGATCATCTTCCTGTCTCCTTCAGGAGTACTTGGCTGGGAGGACAGAGCTGGAAGGCTACAAGAGGGGCCTGGACTCTTTCGTCTGCGCTGTCATGCCCAACAGCGGCAACACGCAGATACGCACCACCCCTGGTATGTGTATGATTATGAATCAACTTCACCTTCAAATGACCTGGGCAGATGATCACTAGACAAGTATGGTTTGCTTGACAAGATTTTTCTCATCTGCCTCTCTCACTCTCACACTGCAGGAGGGCTTCTCTTTACCCGCGATTCTGTCAACCTGCAGTACACAACCACCGCAGCCCTGCTGCTGTCAATCTACTCAAAGACCCTGAGTTCTGTAGGTGACCAAGTAGTCCAGTGCAGCGCAGCAAGTTTCTCTCCAGATCAGATCAGTTCATTTGCAACGTCACAGGTAAACAACAGAACACACATACTACTACTTCTTCCCACTCGTTTCTTGGTTTTTGCCGGATTACAATATCGGTTTTCAGGTGGATTACATCCTGGGAGACAATCCGAAGGGCATGTCCTACATGGTCGGCTTCAGCTCCAAGTTCCCAAGGCGGATTCACCACCGCGGCTCCTCCATCCCGTCGATCAAGGCTCTCCCCAGGAAGGTCACCTGCAACGAGGGCTTCTCGTCATGGTTCCCGACCAGCAACTCCAACCCCAACACCCATGTCGGCGCCATCATCGGCGGACCTGACGGGAACGACCAGTTCAGTGACAACAGGGAGGACTCCACGCACTCCGAGCCAGCAACGTACATCAACGCAGCATTTGTGGGTGCCTGTGCTGCTGCCCTGGGGCAGAACCAGCTCAAGGAGACTGTGGACGACATAGCCTCAGCCCTAAGTGATATAATCTAACTACAACAGAATATGTAAGGACAGGGTCTGGCAAAGTCCCAAGCATGATATTGTCTTGTAACATCAAGGCTACTTATAACTACCCCTACCCTTGATCATCCTGTATGACATGATAAGAAGAAATAAATAAATATAATGGCAAGTTTCTAGTAGTAAACTATATATCTGCCGAGTCAAAACATCATTCAGCAAAACCCAATCAGAAGACTAGACAAGTACATCAGCTTTACCACCAATCTCGTTTCAATTTGATGGGAATGAAGTGTTTTATCTACAATGATTTACTGCAGTACTCCAGCAATAGCTGGACAAATCAAAACTGAAGTGGATTATTCTATTTTCTTTATACTGCCATTTGTATAGTAGTGTGCCACTAGGTTTCTGTCTGCCTCCCTTCATGGTTGCTGGTCAAAATGAACCGCTAAGCTGGTCAATCCAGGAACCGCTAGAGATGCCCAACTCACTGCAGTACCAAAGAAGAGTTCCCAGAACCAAAGATCCACCGCGAGAACTGAAGAGAAGATGAGCAGAGCAAGCGTCTCGTATCTATTCAAAGGCCAGCCCAAAGCCTCAGCCAATGTCTTCAAGAACGGAAGGGATTTGCTGTCTATCTCCCGGCTTCTTATTGACCATGCGGTGACCCACTGCACATCGGCTGGGACCATATTGAGCTCTTCTCGAAGACGTCTTCCCAGGTCTGGCATGTGTCCGCCACCATACAGGACTGCTATTCTCTTGTACCCACGGTTTATTGCTTCCTTAATCTTCTCAGTAGCAACTCTGTTCCTCTCCCCGATGATAACTGATTTCTCCTCAACGGGTGTAGGCACAGCTGTGAATCTTTAATAAAACAAAAAAGGAAAAGAAAATCAGCGAATACTTTACTTAAAAACTTATTTGCCTGATTGGTTTCAGATTACTCACTCAGATGTCAGTTGCTTTGCCAAGAAAATCTTCAGTGCAGCTCCAAAATCTAACCTAGACAATGCCTCCAGCTCAGGAAATCCATCTTGGTTTTCCACTGGCAGACACAGCCCAGTGATGACGAGTAGCCCAACAAGCGGCATTGGTAGCACACGTGAGGCCCATAGTAACTTCGATCTCCAAAAGTCAAGACCATCTGGCATGTTACTTGGCTGCACCAAGGCTTTGGTTGATTTCAGTGTCATGTCTACCGCAAACGTGAGAATACTTTCACCTCTTTCACTCTGGATGAAAAAAAGGCACTGCAATTAAAATATACTCTAATAAAAATGGCCAGGGTAATACAATCAGGGAACATGAATGCTAACTGGTTCATACTCCGTACCTAGTATGACAAGCAAAACAACTGTTACCATGTGACACTAGCTTTGCAACTAATGTGGTGACCAAACATTTCAAAAAGCAAAAGACTAATGACGTGACTAAATAAAATAATTACCTGAAGCTGCTTGAATGTTTCATAGTCAAGGTCAGCATGCTGCCATTTCTCATTGCCATAATCAAGACAGTCTAACTGATAATCCAGTGAAAGGATCCGAGCCATTTGCTTCTGTATGAAACCAAGAATACTAAATCCTCTACGTGAAGATTTCATCTTCTTAGCAGCCATTGGACCTTTCGGATTGTTCAAATTCTCCCGACTTGTAACCATTTCATACAGGACACAATCATAATCTTCAAGCTCTTGCTGCAGTCTATCAAAGTATCTGAAGAAAAATCGCAGATCTCAGCCAATTCACTATAGTAATAGTAGCTATAAACACTGATGAATGGCGGGATGTTTGAATAAGTGAACGATGATAAGGCACAAGGAATGTACATCAACATTACAGCAAAACTTAATTTGAGAAAATAATACTTGAACATGAAACAGAGCAAAAGGCACACACTCTTTGTCGGCAATGTGGACTGTAGAAACCAAATCAACCTGCAGCATAACAGGAGTTGACAACTGATTAGAAACTAGAGAAATTTCATCAAAAAAGTTGGCAGTTCTAGGACATTGACTCAACTCAACACTGTTTTGCACCTATTGGATTCTTCTATTAGCTAAGTGGCAATCGACAAACTTATGGAAATGCTATACAGATGACGCACACATTCATTCCATATCACAGCAATTCACCAGAGCACAGTGAAAAAGGCAAGCCAAGCTAAGTCTTCAGACAACAAATTTCAGCAAGCTGAAACTTCCGAAGTGGCCATCAGAGTGCTGCTGATGCAAACCCACAAAATTGAGGCATTGAAGTGGTAACAACTAACAGCATTTACGCTAATCTCCCTATTTATTGTTAAAGGATAACACAGGAAATTCCACATTATAACTACTACTCATCCTGCAGACAAGTTCACAGGCGATCAGCAAGTTGAAGCAATTAATGTTGGAAATGTTGTGACACGAGCAATTAATCGGCGGGAGGGTCAACATTCATTTTGTGTATTTCTTATATGGATAACAGCTTTTTTTTTTGGGTGCATTTCACGCTAGCACATCGGATTTCCTTGTCGACGGATGCAGGCGAGCGACACACGCACTAAGAGGCAATAGACTCACGTGGAGGAAAGGGTGGAGGAGCGACCACGGGAAGCGCTTCTTGAAGCGCACAACCGCCGTCTGCAGCTCCCCGCCTCCGCCTCCCGCTCCTCCGGCACCGCCAAGCTCGGGGCGGCGGTAGCGGAGGTAGTCAGTGATGGAGCTGCTGGTGGCGAACCGCTCCGCCCCTCCGTCGCCCACCACCCCGGACGCGGCGGCGGAGGCGACGGGGCGCAGCCAGAGGGCGCGGCGCCGGCGGCGCGCGCGGGAGGAGCGGAAGGCGGCGGCGAGCGAGGTGGAGGGCGCCGAAGCCGTCGAGAGCATCGCTGGCTGGGGTTAGGGTTTGGAGAAGAGAGAGGGAGTGTTGAACCGGCGGTGGTGGAAGCGAGTGATGAGCGTGGTGGATGGATGCTGCTGCCCTCCTCTCTTCCTCTCTCTCCGTCCGGGAAGATGGGGTTCGTTCAGGACTCGCGTGTGTGTGTGCGGTCACTGAGCTGTGGGCCCGCCAAGGATCTGATGAGATGTGGTTGGCTGGCGCGAGGCCACGACCTCTTGTGAATGAATACGTAAAAGGAACGTTTCGGATCGGGCAGCGTGGCAGTGTATAAATCAGCCATGCTGATTTTCACCCAAATTTACTGCGTTAAACATTACTAAGGTCCTGTTTGATCCATGGCTAACAATTATGGTTCAAAATTAGCACTAATAAAACGATTAATAGGTGAGCTATTCTTTAGCTAAACATTTAACTGGTTCATCGAACTCTCCCGTCTCCATTTCTATATTTCATTTTAAAAACGACATAATGGAAATGGTCCTTAATTTTCACTCTGGGTCTCTATTCTCCAGAAGGACCATTTGATAGGAGAGCGCTTGCCACTCATGCGACTCCTTTAAATCCTCCGTCTATCCACTCTAGGATATTGTTGAATATAGAAAACAAATATAACACGAGCTTATACAAACTTCAAAAGGCTTGACACGGCTATAATGCAGTAAGGACGTTTAGTGGATCATATTTTATTTAAATTCAGTCTGATTTTGGCCTCTCAACTATCACGTGGTCTAATTTTGACCCCAAACTACAAAACCGTATGATCAAGCAACCTCAACTTTCAAATTGTTCACTTTTAGCACCTGGCCACGGTTGAGGCCGTTTTCCGCCGATGTGTATCTGGTTTTGACCCGCTACACTGGCGTTGACCGCCACGTAGGACGGCGGCATGGGTGAAAACAGAGGTCGGCCCACTCAACTCTCTCTCACTCTCAGTTCCTCTCTCCGGAACATGACAACTTATTTGATGGGCTCTAACCGCCACCCCATCACCAACTCTTTCCCCTTTCTTGGTTAAACTTATTTGACAACCAATATTTTGAATTTCTAAACTTTACCACTACTTGTTTTAGGAAAAAGAAAGGATAGAAAAAAAAAAAGTTGAGGGCAGCCTAACTTTGTGGAAGGACTAAGATAAATACATGTACATTTCAATCACAGACACTAAAGGCTTTGTTGTTGTTGTTGTTTCAATTATTTGAACAAGAAGGCAGTCAACTGAAGTATCCCACGTATACAAATCTGCCATGTTTTCCTCTGTGTAGTTAATGGCAATCATAATAGGCAAGTAAATAAACAGTTCCATATATTCAGGTACTTTACATTCTGTTGTATGGCTCCTCTTCACAGATGAGCATGTCACAAGCACACAAATACCAGGGCTCATTAATAATCGAATGAAGCTGTAAAACTCACAGAGCCAAATCTCCTGTTTCCATCCTTGAAATCTGCCGCATTCAGACTTCATAGTTCTCTACTTGCATGTTCATGCTGTGTTATCCTTCACAACTAGGCAGTACAATCCAATTTACAAGTTACCACATATTTTGAAAGCTTGCAAAAATACGCAATAGTCTGCAAGTTATTTTTTTGCAGAAATCAAAGCGTCTTTGGCAGATCATATGTTTTCTTGAGAAACTTTGTAGCTGTCTCATCATTTCGATAGCATAATACACGCAATATTGTGTTGGGGTTATCTGGACTCCAACGAGCAGGTACAGGAGGCATCGGGAACCTAGAATTGGCTGTAGGTTCATAAGATTCAGAAATTAGCTGCTTGAACCGTTCAATGAGGGTATCGGTGTCTGTCCGTAGGAGTGGCAGAATGTTCTTCACTTCTGAGGAAGCCTTGCCAACTAATTCCTCAGGTAGCCCATCACAATACGATAAATATAAGCCTCTTAGGGCTCGGAAATCGTCCTCTATTGCCTGATAGTCCTGACAGCTGAAGGCACGCATTGGTCCACCAGCAAGAAGCACCAACAAAAAGCCATCAAAAGAGGCTTTCATCAGTGCAGTTATGAGACGATTTTGCACTTTATTGTGCACTGTGGCAGATATAATCCTAAGGATAGGACCAAGCTCTTTTAACAAAGGCAGTATCCTGTTTGATGCAGGGCCCCCAACATAGAGAGTATCCAGGAGAACGTGACTCAGATCATTGAACATCACCATATATGCAGTTGTCTCACACAGCTGTCGAATTCCTTCTTGGCAAGCTGCCTGGGATAGCCCAAAGTTTATGTTCAGACCATCAGCAATATCAGGCTGAGCCAACTCAACATTCTGCAGGCATTCTTTCATCTTCATATGCAGGTTTTCTAGCTCAGTTTGGATGTAGTAAATGGTATTTATTCGTAAACATAGTCCATGAAGGCTCGTTGTTGATCCAACTTGTGATCCTCGCTTCATAAGAAACTGTGGTTTTTCGTTTTTCTTGAATAACTTGGAACCAACGTCACACCTTGTCAGATGAGGTAGCTGAGGAAAAAGAGTACTCCGAGTTCCTGTAAATTAATACAAAATGAACTCACCAAGATTATTTTGCTCAAGAACTGTCTTCGCAATATACTTACCACAGCCTGTTTTCACTTTAGAGACATAATAATGTAGACATTTATCGAGTCCAGCTGTCAGATCAGCAAACAGAGTAGCGTGGATTGGTATCGACAAATGGAAAAATGCATCCAAAGTTTCCTCAATTATGTGCAGCATCTCCACAGAAGAGGGAGCAAAACTGTCCCTGTTATTATCCTTTGGGTTCCAAGTCTGCATAGCAATTACAAAATTAATGCCGCATTATAAAAATTCATTGCATCCTAGAATGTTGCACAGATATTACTCCCTCCAATTCAAAATACAAGGACTTTCGAGTTTGTCCTAAGCCAAACTATTTTAGGTTTGACCAATCTATAGAGAAGGGTTCTTTTGCCCAAACCTTATATTGTAGGTCAGAATAAAAAGAAAACAAGATCACCTCTTGTTGTAGGTTCTGGTCAGCCCAAATCTTAAGCTTGTCTAGTTGTTCTCTTCCCCATGCTTTCACCAGATTAGCCATTACAGTTCCAGTTTCATAAGGTGGCATTTGTCTTACCAATGACTTGCCTCTATCATCACCGTCCATAGAATCTTCAAGAGCAATATGAACTAGATCCTTTTCTAACTTGTCAGCCGCCTTAAGCACTTGAGCTGTATCTGGTGTGAGCTCTGTAAGCCCAACTATAAATTTTTTCAGCTCATTTCCAAAGCAACCATGAAGGGTTGCAACAGCAACACCTGCAGCAAAGGGGTGCCATTTCTTCAGTATTGGACTGTATACATTTTTCTCCTTAATAGCGAGCTCAGTTGTTTCCTTTGCAAGAATTGACAGAACAGGTGTACAGTTTATGGATGACCGATTTGAATCTGCCTCTTCCATTTTCTGCATGAATCAACACTACACAAAAGATAAGCACTGGTACAAGTGTTGAAAGTTCAACCTCTTAGATTAAGAGGCGCATGTGAGTTGAGAGAAGCAATTTTCAGACAGTTATCAGCAGTACTCAGTGTCTAAGGTTTCAGCCATGCTTTACAGAATCTAGCACATTTGGTGACAATAGGACATACAATCACTAAAAAGAAAAGAAAAAAATGAACTTTGAATTAACCATACTTAAATAGTGAAAGAACTTAGCAAAAAGAGTCATCTTGTTTCGAACTTACTTGAGCAAATGCTTTGCGGAGTGATGATTTTATATATGTTTCAATCCTGCTGCGCACCACATCAATATCTCTGTTTGTTCCACTATGGTATTCATAAGATACATCTTCAAGAAGAATCTTTGCAGCAGAGATTCCTATTGAAACAATATATTGCATGGAATAAATATTACTAGTATTGAAAGTTTCATGGTATGCAAGCAGTCTTTTCTCTTCCCATCCCATTATTGAGCTTAAAGTGGAGCTCAATACATCACAATAATCTGGATCTTTTGTTATTTTAGCATCTTCTGCAACTTCAACTAATAGATTCTCCATAGCAGAAAGCAACCCATTATCTGCTTGACCCAACATGACAAAATGGTTGAACAATGCCCAGGTAAAGTAAATGTTGTGGAGCATTTGAGTGATTCCAAAAACAGGCCAAGTCTTCTTCAACAGCTCCATAATTTCATCAATCTCATCTACTACAGTGCCTTCCTCAACATCAAAGCAAGCTTCTATCAACATTTTGTAGATATGGAGATTAAAGGGGAAACCATCTGCCCAATGACACTCATCGGAAGTTTCACAAAGGGATCTACACGCAAGGGACATGACAGCGCTGTGCAGTCTTTGCATGGATTCTGAATTCCTCCCAGTTTCAACTTTCCCAGCATATGCTTCATGTATTATTCGCCGCATTCTCTTCGCAGAAATGTCTGATTTCTTTAAAGGAATAAGTGGGTGAACCAGCACACCAGCCTCGAGAAGCTTGAAATTCCTAGTCTGCCAAGCCTCGTACTCTAGAGGGTCAGGGAAATCTGATGCTTTACACTTCTGCAGGAACTCTAAGGGCAAAACCATAGATTTTGCAGGTGTGCCAAGCTGTTTCAAGGAAGAAAATAAACGTAAGTTAAACCTCTATGTATATACGCAGCACAAATGGTTCTGTAAAATTATAGGTAAATGACGGGCTATGAAACCAACAGTGACTGAACAACCCCTGTCAACAGTACTCTCAAGTAATTTACTTTCCTAAATAGAATGCCTGCTGAAGCTTGGTGATTTCTAGGAACTATCATAAAAAATGAGAGAAGGAAAAATGAGCATACAGTACAGATTTGGCATGTCCAAACGGAAAACCATAGTTTACATTTATCACGTATAGTACTAAAATCCACAACAAAAAAATTAAACTCAGGTTAGCAGATAAATCTGTCGGCCACCTAGTGCACACACATATTAACCAAAAATCATCATCGAACATTGCCTAACAATCCAAGAAGTGCATAACAAGCAACTATAATTGTAAGAGTGCTTCGTAAAACAAGGCAAGAAGACCATCCAAATGACTACTTGGGCACCATAATACGAAACAATTGGACATCCCAGATGTAACATAAGAATCAAATTTACACATCGAGGATCGAGCTGCTACTGATCACCAAGAGAAAAGAATGTATGATTTATATTTATAAGCTGAATGGAAGCCCCTGGCTGCAATTGCAATTGTTTGCCAACGTAGTCCTTCCTTCATTACTCAATTACACACGTGAAACACCCTGATATGCAAGGACAGAAACATAAGTACTCGTCATTACTGAAATCAGATACGGTCAAGTACAGAAAGGACAGAAGACGACAACAAACCATTTGCCACAGTTGAGCCTGCAACCTCAATCACAAACAGAGCAATCAAGAACCAAAGCAAAGAACTTATTACCGACATGCTACCAACCGCACGGAACTAACCCGAACCAGCCGACAACGCAACAAGCCAACAACCAAAAAAGAAAAGAAAAGGGCAACCTCTGATGAAGAAATTAAGCTGCATTGTCCCTTTCATTCAAGAAGCTGGGGGTTCCTAACCTGCCCGGCGGCGACGCGGAGCAGCACCCGGCGGATCCTGGCGTCGGCCTGCTCCGTGACCCCCATCCGCACCCGCACCAGCTCCAGCACCGCCGCCCTCCCGACCTTGGACGGCGGCGAGGACCCGAGGCCGAAGGTGCCCTTGAGCTTGCCAGACGCCGCCGTCGCGGGCTGAGGAATGTAGGTGAGGGGCCTAGCGCCGGTGGCCCGGGAGGCAGCCACGAGCAGCTCGTAGGCGGTGGCGCGGAGGTCGGCGGCGGAGAGGGCCACGCCGAGGTCGGGGAGCGGGGCCGGCAGCGGCGGGGAGGTGGCGGCGGCAGCGGGGTCACTGGAGCTGGAGGAATCGTGGAAGCGGCGCGCCGTTGCCGTTGCCGCCATTCTCGTTTCTCTGCGTCTGCGATGCTCCCGCGTCTCGTCTATTTGCTAGGAAGTAGTAGACTAGTAGTAGATTGCTGATGGAGCAAGTTTAGCGCGTGTTTGCTTTGGTTGGGTGCAAAAACACTCGGGGTTTAATTTGCCAACTTAACCGACAAAAGCTACGCCAGCTCACCTAACAAATTATCTTCCTATTTAATTTTTCCATGGAATTATCGTTCATCTTAAGTTACTCGCTGGTTTTGCGTTACAACGATATGTTGATGCCTGACACATCAACTTGCTTGTGAAAATTTGGTGGTTTTTTCTGAACAGTTTTACTCCTTTGCAGGTGACTGATAATATGCGTAACCATCAGTCACCTGCACCCAAGCGCCCAACCACGCCCACGTCCACGTCCACGCCTTGCACGGTTCATCTTTCCCACCGCGACGCCCGCGCCTGCGCCCGCCCCACCGCCTTCTTCCCCAACTACGGCGGGGCTTAGAAGAGAAGGGGTTTGGAGGAAGGAAGGCCGGCCAAGCGGTGATGATGGTATGGTGGTAGGGGGTTTAGGGGCCCTGGCGGCTGTGGAGGCGGCCGGGCCAGGGCAGGACAGAGGACCTTGGCCGGACCTCATAGCGGAAAAAGGAGGGGAGAGAGAAGAAAGACAATGCCAGCAGCGCGCTAGGGTTTTGTCGAGACTTAGGTCATGCATGCGGCAACAAGGAGCTCGACGAAACCAGCAGCAAGAGCAAGTAGGGCGAGAATGAGGAGGAGGGCGCGGCCGGCGGAGAGACAAGTAGGGGTGGCGAGGAGGAGGAAGCTCGAGGAGAGGAAGATGGCCGGTGGAGGTGACCAATGGTCAGAGACACACCTTTTTTTAAAGTGTTCAATTTCAAGAATTAATATAGTTTGGAACCTCCTATAGCATTAAATTTCATAATGTATGCGCTCTGCTTCCTCCAACACGTAGTCAATTAAATAACGACAACAGGGCTCATTTTGGTATGGTCCAAGAAAATGTGAAATGTATGGATGGAAATTAAATATAGTTAATATTATTATAGTTTATAGGTGAGGACCGAACAGAGGGGACACATGGAAAGGTGGTTGCCGATGGTTTGATGGACCAACTGCATCTCATGTCCTCGTGCATCCATTACACAACACATGATGCATACACAACATCTATCACCTCTCAGTTTCAACGCGAGCCACAGAAGCATCAAGGGTTTTCTAGAGGGGACAGAAATTTCATGTTAGGAAGGTGAATGGCATATCTCATATTTCAGATCTCAGCTCCACATGTTTATCTAGAAACTTAGGTCCATGAGTTGGTGTGGCACCGCGTTCGCATGTCAGTCTACCACGTCACTGCATTCCTGCTCATGGATCAGGGTATGTTGGGATATCCTAAGTATTACGAGAGTCCAAACTCTATACCCTCCGTCCCATAAAAAAGTTAATATGAGATTTGTGCTGATCAAACTTTCTTAAGTTTGATTAAATTTGTAGAAAATATTAGCAACATTTATATATCTAAATAAGTCTATAATGAAAACATAGTCAACGATCTGAGTAATGATATTAATTATGACCAAAAGTATTAATATTTTCTTATATATATTTGGTGAGAGGTGAAAATATAGTCAACTATTATGGACCAGTCCATAGCAAAATGTACACATATACATATACTAGTAAGGAGTAAAAATTATTATTTTTTTCCTTAGTTCCTACCACCGACGCCTTTGCTCCTCCTAGCACCAACAATCATTGTTGCCCCTCCTCTCGGTTGCCCCCCCCCCCTATCTTCACGTGCTCGGCAAGATATTCATCCTCCTCGAGGTGGAGTGGCCGCACGTAGGCGATATGAGGAGCGGGCAAGATGGTGAGGTTTGGCCTACTTACATATGGAGAAGACGTCAGAGAGGAGATGGCTGGGAGCAAAGGCACGAATGCCACATCTAGTCGACTACAGGAACTAGAGGAGCGGGGATCTAGACACCGCAAACAACAAAAGGAGGCCCAGCGATGGGTAGTGCAGGTGAAGACGAAGAAAGCACAACAACAAAAAAGGGAGGGGGGTGGGGGGGATAAGGGGAAGGGAAGGCTGAAAGGGGACCTGGACATGGTTGTTTCTTTATTCTAATATGGGGCACACCTTATTAGCTCCTTTAGGATTTAGCATAGTGAAGATAAAACAATAATTAAATTATATATGTATATGTCCTACCTATATATATGGACAACTTGGTCTATATACATTGTCCATGCTCTGATCAGCTTCTTTCTTGTGAGAAGGAAAATGCAAATGTATGGGTGGAAATTAAATATAGTTTGATAAAAAAAACATTATAGGTGAAGGAGAAGGACCACACAGGAAAAGTGGTTGCCGACGGTTCGATGGACCAAGTCGATCTCATCCATGATGAATACGTAGTATCTCCTGCCAAATTCCAGCGGAACTGCAAGCGACAGAAACATACAGTGTGTGTTTTGGTTTGACGGACACACACTGCGTAGGTTGTTCGTCCGGCACGTAGTAGTGTCGTCCGATGGTTTCGAAGAACGAGTTGATTGTACTAGTTAACTTGCAATTGGGAGTACGGAAGAGTTAGATCCGTTCTATGCAAAGGAAACGCCGACGCCAGGTTCGGAGTTGGATCGGATCGCTGCGTATCCATCCGTCCCGTAAACCAAACACTGATAAGTATGGAGAAGGTGAATGGCCCATCTCGCATTTCAGTGCAAGGTCGATGGAGCTGGCGGCATCACAGTCCGGCGAGAAGGCATGCGAATGACGTCGCTGCTTTCCTGCTCGCCGACTTTCTCATCAAATTCCCTATGAATTACTAATTAATTAGTAGGAGATAGGAATGCCATCCTGAATCCTGTCAAGAACAAAAAGTAATCGGTATTTACCATAATTTTAATCACCGACATGGACTTGTGCATCAATGCAGAATCAAATGAAACAGAATAACAATATTGTCTAGAGCAGGAAACAAACATATCAAAGCAGGAAACAAACACAGATATAATTTGCTCCCACGTCAACATCATCTCCAGCAACAGCTTTGTTGGTTCATGCATGCATGCTCCAAACAGGAAGTTAAATGTCCAGTGTTCAATGTGTCATGGCCGTTTGTTCTGGACGCTGTGCTTTCCAGATATTACATATTTTTAAAGGAAAAACAAACAAACATTACAATTTCTCGGTTACGGAGTACAATACAATTTATAAATGTGTAATAGCAGATAACCGACGATCATATCAAAGCAGTGTTAAATGTGTCATTGCTGTGGTTTCCAGATATTACATTACATCATCATTGGGCATGGGTGCAGTCTGACAAGCCAACCAACAATCTGTGCCTGCATGATAAAGTTGAAAGACATGAGGACTCCGATGCAAGCCATGGTAGAATTAACTAAATCAACTTAAATACTCCCTCCATACTGAAAAACCGTATATGTAGTTTTTGCGAAACTTGACGTTGTGGCTCCGTGACCCCGTCTGTGGACTTTTTGCCCCTACGGTCTGTTCGGCTGGCCTTCCTTAATTGCTTTCGTTTATCGCGCGCCGCCCAGAGCACTAATCATTGCTGCATCGTTTGTTTCGTTGCCCGTTGAATCGATCAACCGAGTGCTACTACTGCCACGCACTGCCTTCCTCTCGCCTCCCTTCATCAACGCAGTAGAAGCCTCGCCGCAGTTCCTCTCCGCCGAGCAGTCTAGGGTCTAGGGCTCCTCGCCGTCGAGCAGTGTAGCCGCGCCGTCGTTCCTCACTTCGCGCCGCCGTTTTCCTCGCTGCGCGGACGTTCCTCGCCACCAAAATTATCTAATGGCAAGTTCAAATCGAACCCTGTCCAAAAAAGAAGAAAGAAAATGAGAAACGTTACCACACGTTCTTGCTTTGAATATTAAACAAAAAAACCAAACAAACTGAGTAGTACATTACCATTTGTGGTGCCGTCCTCCAATATTGGGTCGTTGAGATCGACGTCGCCGTCTTCTTCCAAACGAACGTTCAAATCAAATGGATTAGCCATTGCAGTAGAGAAGGAGTGGACAAGGAAAGAGTGGACCACGGCAAAGAGTGGAAAGATGAATAGGTTCAGATGGAAAGGTGAGCACCAGTTAAATAGGAAAGGAGATGGACCATCGGCCAGACCACACGACAGCGCGCTCGCGGCCGAAAAAATGATTCAAAAACGCGCCATGCAACGAAAACTTGAACTGCGAAATGCGAGCGTGCACAGCCAAAATGCGCCATGCAACGAAAACGACGCCAGCGCCATACTACGCCGCGCGCGCAAGCACGGGCAAAATCTTGACGCGCACGGCGGCGAAAACGGGGCACGCGAAGCGAAGCGGCGCATGCAAACGGCGAAAAAACGCGGCACGCGAAGCGAAGCGCATGCAAACGACCCGGCCTCCGCACAGTGCCATGCAAGCCATGCAAAATGGCCAGAGCGCATGCAAACGACCCGGCCTCCGCACAGTGCCATGCAAGCCATGCAAAATGGCCACGAACAAAAAAAGGCGCCTGCGGTGGGATTCGAAACGTGGACCACAGCTTCAGCCCGCCGAGGGCTAGCCACTCGAGATAAGCAAGATTCTTGTATAGAACACACCCATCTTGCTATTTAATAGGGGCAAGGGTGGAAAGATAACCTCTAATTAATCACTCCCGTTTCAAACTTACCACAAATCATGTCCTAATCATAGGAAGGTTTCAGCATGGAGGGAGTATTGGACTTCCCAGCAATTTGAAAAGCTGAGGCATGCCCTTGAACGAACACCGGCCCATACACGTGTATATATAAAATTTGAGACTTCATGGATGGAGTTATGGCATCTTGCCAATTCTGCAGACATTGACCTTGACAGATTTTGCAATGTCGGCAATCAGCATTATTTATGGTTTCACTCTCGCAGGATCCTGTCATTACTGTTAGGATTGCCCGCTACGGCTACTTGTAGTTGTTCCTGCACGTTATCCTCGAACTGCACACAGTCGGCGAAGCTTTTTTGAGCCTAATATTCTTGAGGTTCGCGAGATACCTTAGCCCTGACAATTCCTGTAGTCCCCACCAACCTTCAATATATCCGTAGCAGCTCAAGTTTAGGCGTCGTTCCGTATTCAAACTTAACAAATGCAAGTACGTTACATATCATAGGAAGGTCAAGCAGCACGAGAGACGGGAAAGATCCCAGCTGTTTGAAAACGAGCTCTTCACCCTTGAACGAACACCGGCCCATAACGAGTATTGCAAGATTTGGTAGCTTCCCAACGGCCTCTATGGCATCTTGTTGCAATTCTGCAGACCTTAGATGTAGCCTTGACAGATTTTGAAGGTGATGGATCCACTCCAATCTGACTAGCTAGTTTACCATCCAGCTTGAGGGTTTCAATGCTTCTTGGAGGCCACAAACTCCCATCCAAAGATGAATCCAACTCAAGTGGACGAGAAGTAGAACAGCTGACTGACAAAGATAGCAGAAGATTTAAACTAGCAATGGCAGACCAGAATTCCTTGTTGTTTGTTCCTGACCAGAATTCCGTAGCAATGGCAGCTGTGAGAGTTCCTCTAGGGTGTCCTTCTCTTTCTCAAGTACTCCTGATCTGACACGGGCCAATGAGCACAGGGCATTCAAATTTCCAATCCCTCTCGGAACAATGGCACCACCATATCCATATGGTTCTGTACGGACAAATCTTAGCTTTTGGAGGTTGATGATACAGGGCGGCAGATTCTCTACGGCTGTCCGTCTAACATCCAGTGTGTTTAGGTTCCTTATTAAATTCCCCAAAGAGTTAGGCAGTCTTCTAACTCCCAAGCATCGTTGCAGAGAAATATACTTTAGGTGAATGAGCTCCCCGATTTGATTAATTAAGGTGATGGTCCTCTATTCCTTCCGTCCCTTCCAAGTCCAGCACTCGAAGAAACCTCATCTTTTTAGAAATGAAAAAGGAACCTCCAAACACAGTCAATGGCCGCACATGCGACAAGTCTAGGATTCTATCAAACACATCCTTGTCTGTTGTCCGGCTGCTGCTTATGGCAAGGTGACGTACCGCACCCTGCGTATTACTACCACTTAAACCGCACTCTCCCTCCATTTCCATTGTGAAAGAAAGGTTTTCCTCCCTTGCCTTTGAGATGCATATCTGGCGCATGATATCATGAAGCTGACAAGAGCCAATTCTGCAACTAAAAATATTCACTTCTTCCCTGTTAGGATCGCTGCTATGTGGGCCCAGGAGGCCCAAGAGGAACAGGCTGCCCTCCTGCTGGCTACAAAAGGCATCGTGGGAATCCAAGGGAAGGCATCGAATAATACAGAAAACCAGACTCTTGTCTCCTCTGCCCTGTTCATCTTCTTCCTCAAGTCTTCCTCTCTGATCCGATCTCCTTGCTGTGCTTCCCCTCTCATATTCCAACTCTCATTGTATGAACATGTGTTGAACTATTTATCCAACTGAATCGAGATTTCTCTGTTCCTCGCCTAATTGCTTTGCTTCCTGCAACTCCAATTCCTCTAAACCCCAATCCCCCTTGTTGCTAATAAATTGGTACTCAGAGCCAAATCCTGCAGCACCACGAAATCCACCACCACTACTCCATGGGTCCTCTCGACTACCAGCTGCTCCTGGCCGAGATTCGCGCGATGCGCAAGGAGTTGGAGTCTCAGTTCGACGGGCTCCGACAGTCCTTCAACAAGCCAGCCTCCACCGCCATCGCTACCACGTCGTCGCCGCCGACGGTTCAGCTGTCCACACCGTACCACGACGACTCCATCGCCTCCGACCAGATCCGCGTCGAGGGCGGCCTCACCTCCAACGTCCCCGTCGCGTTACTCGACGTCGTCCACGAGCCCGCTCCCGTGCTTGACACCACCTCCACCGACGAGCACAACCCCGGCCCCGCGGCAATCCAAGCCATGCTCGATGCCGCGGAGAGCCCTCACCGCCTAGCCGCCGCGCTCGACGACCTCGTCCGCCTCAGCCTCCTTCCAGATGTGCTCCTCTGCGACATCGTCTCTCGCCTTCCCATCAAGGATACCGCGCGCACGGCGGTGCTTTCCCGCCGCTGGAGGCCAATCTGCGCCTCCCCATCCGTGTCACTGGTAGAGATGGAGGCGCAACCCTTCTTCCTCATCGCGTGCACCAAGCAGGAGCGGCGCCCCATCATCCGCGCCGAGGGGATGGGTGCCAGCGGCCGCGTCTTCGTCGGCGTGAACATACAACGGCTCCACGATGATTTCGCGCCCGACGACCCCAGCCTTCTCCACTGCGTCTGCCTCGGCCCCGTCATGTGTGTGCTCCGTGCCACCCCACTCGGTGGCTACGATGGCTCCCTCGACGACGACCTGGAGTCCGGCATCACCCACTTCGACACGCTGCTCGACCGAGCCGTCGGTCGTGATGGCCAGGCACCCGCCGCGGCTGCCACGCTCCGCGCCGATGCTGTGGGGGCTGCTGGCTGCGAGGTTAGCGTAGGCCACATGTTCGACGATTTGCCCGGCTGGCGACAGCAGCTTCGCCGACATCCCCATCGGCGCGCTCTGGGAGGAGGAGATGCTCCACTGGGGTGACAACAACCATGGGCTGGCCCCGATGTTCTACATGGCCGAGCTCGAGGTGGGTGAGCTCCGACAGAGAGTGCTTCATCCCCTGGCGGAGCTCCAGGAGCCGTGGCCTGCTGTTACCCAGGTTGTTCCCGGCGAGCTCGCACAAACATCGCCCTCATGGTGTTTGACACTAGGTCACAACCACGCTGGGTGCGCCCCTGAGTCAGTGACCACTGCACCGGCTCCTTTGTCGATCCTTGCTGCGGCGCCGGCGTTTCCTTCCATACCTGAGCTAGTGGAAGCAGCAGAAGAGTTTACCTCTTTCATCGACTCACGTTCCACCCTTGGGCCTGCTGTTGTGGTATTCCAGGACGTTGTCAAGCATAACCAACCAAGGTATTTCACTGCTAATCTCGCCCAAGCATACTCAGTGGATGGTGCTGCTGTTCCGCTCTGTTCTGCAACCATTGCAACTCATGCTGTTCAGAGGGTGTCTGAGGGAATTCTGGCTCATAATCTAGTGCAGTTAAGGCAACCATGGCCTCCACCTATGGAGTTTGTGTGCTTGGGTAATGGAGTTGAACCATGCTTGTTGTTTGGATTCACCCAAGGTGTCATGGTGCCCAAGCCTCCATGGCCACCTCCCCAAAGCAAAGGGATATGGTTTCAGTTATCAGTGAGTTTTGTGCTTCACCGTGCAGTGCACCAGTGTAGGGTCACATTCATCCATTGTATGAAATATCAAGAGGGTTGGAAACATTGGCTTGAGTTACTTCAAGGTGCAGTGCAAGATGAACTCAATTGCAGGGAGACAGTTCACTGGCTTCAATCATTTTGTGCTGCTATAATTCTCTTGCATCTCATCAATGATAGGAGAGCTATGCTGCTACTTAGTGTTAGTCAATGGGGCCTGATTATACTACATGCATCCATGCTCAAAAGAGTATCTCTGGTGGGAGGTGAACATCTCGTGGTTACAGTAACATCTAATATGCTACCACTATTTCAGTGTTGTCCAATTGCAGTAGCAAGGATGCGTGCTGTTGATGTGTCAGCAACTCGGATGGAAACTGGAATTCTTCAAATTACAATTGTGAGATGTTATTGTCATTTGCTTGCTCTAGTTGAACTTATGAATGGGCAAACTGATCCTACAGTCACATATTATTATATGCACACTTGCTGGGACTGCAACTCACTCTCAATCCTTGTATATGGCAAGTATTTAGCAACTGCTTTGTTGGTTCAGGATGGAAATCAACAGTCATGCTATAGAATTTACAGAGATGCTCGCAGCTCAACGTTAGCACTGAGTCTTCAAAAACTGGGCATCGAAAAGCTAACTAACGACAACGTGCAGCAGTGGGTGGCCTCAAATATGAAAATCGGAACCTGGACTCATATTATGCAGTTTACAGTTCACAAGGAGCCCCAGCTGCTTGGTTTCAGTAATGGTAAGCCCTTGGTTGGTGGAGTTGATGGTACAATATTTGCACGTCCTATCATTTGTTTCAGTTTAGATGCAATGGAAGTAGGAGACTATCCTTATGTTCTGCTATTGAAGCACCCATGGCCGCCACCTGTGCTTTTGCATCTCCCTCTTGCTGGTGCTGGTCTGCAGAAGATACAATGGCCGTCCTTCTGCTGCTATGGTGCTGCCAAGAAGTCCACATTACTGCTATTCCGGGGTTCGAATCATGGCCCCAACTCTATTTCCAAGCTCGTGGAAGGTTCGATATGCTTGCTGCTATGGTTTTCTGTACACTTAGAATCTGATGAACCTATCGGCACCAGCTATATCAGCGGCTTGGGGGCAAGCCGCCTTTCAAGGAGAGGGGAATGTCAGCGGCTCCTGCACGCGCTGCTGGTGTGCGCGGAGACTGAGCTGCAAGAGAACTCAAGCTTCCTCCTCGACGTCACCTTCGCCAACCTCCTACACACGTACTTCATTGAGTCGAGCCGGTGGTCAGACACTTGTGTGGCCCTGTTCGGCATGGGGGAGGAGTTGATCAGCCTCACCGAACACTGCAGCCTGCTCCACCTCCGGCAAGAGCATCCTTGTCTGCTGCTACATGCCCAGCGGCAGCGTGGTGGCAGCGTTGTCTTTCCGGCCGATCCAAACTCGTCGACGAACAGTGCTGCGACTTGAGGACAAGCTGCATTTCAAGCGGTGGGGAATGTTAGGATCGCTGCTATGTGGACCCAGGAGGCCCAAGAGGAACAGGCTGCCCTCCTGCTGGCTACAAAAGGCATCGTGGGAATCCAAGGGAAGGCATCGAAGAATACAGAAAACCAGACTCTTGTCTCCTCTGCCCTGTTAATCTTCTTCCTCAAGTCTTTCTCTCTGATCCGATCCCCTTGCTGTGCTTCCCCTCTCATATTCCAGCTCTCATTGTATGAACATGTGTTGAACTATTTACCCAACTGAATCGAGATTTCTCTGTTCCTCGCCTAATTGCTTTGCTTTGCTTCCTGCCTGAACTCCAATTCCTCTAAACCCCAATCCCCCTTGTTGCTAACATTCCCCTGGCAGGATCATGCTCCTGTCCAAAAGCTCTTCAAAGTACTTGTCACCAACTTCCTCTGCAGTCATGCCATGCATCTCCCATGCATATCCCTCTGCAACCCACCGCCTGATTAGCAGCTTGCGCCTAATCTTGTGGTCCTCTGGAAAAATGGACAAGTACAGGAAACATGTCTGATTGATATTAGTATCCAACAATCATTTAGAACGAAGAAATGTGATGTTTTATGTAGTTGGTTACTCTATCTAGAAAAAGAAGAGCTGTCTTACTAGCTAGTTCGTACCTTCTTTTTGAAGAGTTCAAGTGCTAGATTTTCTTCCAGACCACTAAGGTTGCACATGTTCTTGTCCAGTTTTGAACAATGTTTGGCTATACTTTTTTCCCTCGTAGTAACTATGACCCGTCCAGCATTTTCCAAGCAACTTTTGACCAAGTCCCATTCTGTGATGGATGATATATCATCAAGAACAATAAGGCACTTGTCTTCATTTAGAAGCTTCATTAGCTTTTGGGTCAGCTCTTTTAGTCCCATCTCAGATGTTTCTTTACTCAATTCAGGAAAGTCCATTGCTCACTTTCTAATAAGCAACTCTGGGTTGAAAGGGCGTAGTGCAGTAGCCCAAGCACGCTTCCAGCCGCCAAGCTCTGGGCTTCTGTACGCGCTTTGGACAAGAGTGGGTTTTCCGATACCCCCATCCCCCACACTGAAATAACCTCCTTACTTCCCGGTTCTCCAACTAATTCAATCAGCTTAGATTTCTCTGTTTTTCTCCCAAGGAGCACTTCATCAACTAGTGCCATCGTCTTGCTACGCTCAAACTTGTTTCCAGCATTTGACTCAAAAGCTTTGTCTCTACCCTCATCTTTAGGTTGTTGTTCTTCCTCTTGTATTTCACTGTTGGACCTTGCTGAGTTCTCAATAGTGGAGACTGTACTTGAGTTAGAGATGCGCACAACCTGAACAGAAAGGAGATATCTTTCAGTGAGTACATACTTTTCTGAACAAATTCGCATTTTAGCTGGAGCTGAGATATACTGATAGAGTTACCAAATAATCTATATGTATTCATTATAGATATACTGAACAAAAAATTAATACCTACAACTAATCAAAATTCATTATCTTTGCGTGTTCTCTCTCTCTCTCTCTCTCTCTCTTTTTTCTAACACAATACTCATATAAATGCTTTGTGATATATATATTCGGTTGTGATAGTGTGGGGGTATGGCTCCCGGTATCCTCAAGACAAGACATGGGCCGCACCATCAGAGTTGGCCCGACCCATAAGATCGAGGCGTGCACGGCAAGATTACAAGTTGTACTAGATATTGTAATAGTACCAAATAGGATACTTTACTTGTAACCCTCCTCCTCCAGACTATATAAGGAGAGGCAGGGGTCCCCCTCAGGGGACAATCCATCTAGATCATCCAGATCATACGGATCATACACATCAATACAATATACCAAAGACACACGACGTAGGGTATTACGTCGATCAGACGGCTCGAACCTGTCTAAATCGTTGTCTCTGCGCCTTGTGTCACCATCTGGTTCCTGATTACGCGCATCCTACCGATAATCTACCACCACGGGCACCCCCCTCGGTGGACTGCCGACCATATTTCGTCGACAGTGGCGCGCCAGGTAGGGGGTGTGCGCACTGATCTGTGGCGAACCAGATGGACCTCAAGATCATCAACATAGTCCGCGAGAATTCGTCAGATCGCGGCAACAACCATCGACGACCTGCGAGCGTCGTCCCACGACGATATCCGATGGCGGCGCTCTTCCTGCCGTGGGACTATGGCGTCTCCAGGCAACTTGTCGTGGGATCAACAGGTGGCCTCGACGATCAGCATTACGGGCGGTGCTGGTCATTACGTGCATCATCACCAGAAGGATCAGAGGCCACATCAACAGGTGATAGGCCTTGATCGGACATCGCGGGCGGTGCTGGCCATTACGTGCATCATCACCAGAAGGATCAAAGGCCACATCAACGATCGAACCATGCCCATGCAACCAAGGAAGCATATACGTGGTATACAGGGCCATGCATCAATGGAGTGCATATACATGTATATGTCACCGTTTTCTTGCATAGCATCTGATACTTCGTACAAGACCATGCATGCAAGCCAATTTGCACGTATGCATGCACCATACAGGCAGCTAGCAATCAAGAGCACATGCGCATCTACAAGATCCAACCGGCTATGGAATCAATCTGCTATGATGGCAACTCGGCAACTTCCGTTGCGGACCGACGTGTTGATCCGGTCGTCGTTCCGAGAAACTCCTGGTGACGGAATCCATCCACAAACGGCGGTAAAAACTCTGGAAGATCTAAAGCACAAGGTCGACTTCATGGGTACGTGAGGCACGTACGGCGCCATGCGGCAGCTTGCCTGCCTCTGCACGGGCACTGCCGCATCAGTCTACCTTCAGCAGGCAAGCAAGCTATTGAGCAATCCAAATCCAAGATGTACACGTCCTAGAGTGCGTACGTTTTCATCTGTTAACAAGAAAGCAGCGAAGAGTCCATATACAAGCGACGCTCTATGTACCTCTACGACAGCACCACACGAATTGACATCGCCAAGATCCGAACCATGTCCGACTCCAACTCAGACACGACGGGGGCTTCGGCTTCCGCGCTGATTGCCTCTGCTACGACAAGAGTCCGACGTCTACACGACATGACCCAATCCGACATGCAAGCAATAAGGAGTTGTGTGTATTCATACATGAACGCTTGCATGTACGTGCATCTACAGCACCATGTATACGAAGACCATGGATCATACAAGCAAGCCGTCTTTATCCAAGTCTCTCCACCAGCGGACGTCGAGGCCATGCGCTTCGCCCCAGGAACACAGTTCTACTTCGACGCTTTTTGACTTCGACACCAACGGGATCGACGCCGACAACTTCAACCCGTGCTCTGGACTTCGTCAAGCTACGCCACGACTCCGCACGTTGCTGAGCTCCGACCACCGAACTGATCGAGCAGCCACGTCGACCACGGACCACGTCGATCACGTCTCGAGCTGCTCCGCCGAGCTCCGACCACATCGACCACGTCGACCACGTCCCGAGTGGCTCCACCGAGCTCCGACCACCAGACCACGTCGACCACGTCCCGAGCGGCTCCACCGAGCTCCGACCACCAGACCACGTCGACCACGTCCTGAGTGGCTCCGCCGAGCTCCGACCACCGGACCACCAGACCACGTCCAGAGCGGCTCTGCCGAGCTCCGACCACCTCGACCACCAGACCACGTTGCAATGATGATCGCCACGAAGAACGGCGCTATGACAACCGCGACCACCGTCACAACAGGCCAAAAAGTACAAGGATCGGACAACTTTATCGCCATCGACCAGATTTCTATCCAAAGATAAGTACACTTCTAATATTTATATTTAATATAATTTTCATCACGACGTTTCTCCACAACATCCTCGTCATGGTTATTCTTCAAATAACGTTTGTCCATGTATACAATCTTAAATATAACATACAACTATACTTAATGCAAATCCTCGACCAATCATGTTGACGCTCGATGTCTCTAGAAAATGCCCTGTCTCCAGCTTCTCCCTACACGTGTACGAGCGTCTGCCCTCTGCGTTATGGGTGGTTGGCAGCGGCTCCTTAGCGACGCTTTGTTCTTCCTACACGTGCACGGGCTCCGCGCCCCACGTTATGGTTAACGGGCTAGGTAGGGCTGGAGACTCAGCTACATACTAACTAGTCGGGCAGTTTATATTAAGTATAAACACAAACTTCACTTTAACACTGATGTTTACAAAGCACCAACTGCTTTATCACATCATGCTCATTTGCAAATGACTGCTGAGCGTCATTTTCTCCATAATTTATTACTTTGTACATCATGTACTACCATTCTACATATTTATATTGCAGTAATTTCGAGCTATGCTCGGGGACTTCGTCGCTCGCTCCTCGATCTGTGCTCGGGGACTGCCTCGACCACACTCCGACCACAGTTCGGGGACTTCGTCGCTCGCTCCTCGACCTGTGCTCGGGGACTATCTCGACCACTCTCCGACCATGGCTCGGGGACTTCGTCGCTCGCTTCTCGACCTACGCTCGGGGACTGCCTCGATCACTCTCCGACCACAGCTTGGGGACTTCGTCGCTCACTTCTCGACCTACGCTCGGGGACTGCCTCGATCACTCTCCGACCACAGCTCGGGGACTTCGTCGCTCGCTTCTCACACACGGGGATTGCCTCGATTACTCTCCGACCACTGCTCGGGGACTTCGTCGCTCGCTCGGCTGCCTCGACCACTCTCCGACCACGGCTCGGGGACTTCGTCGCTCGCTCCTCGATCTGTGCTCGGGGACTGTCTCGACCACTCTCCGACCACGGCTCGGGGACTTCGTCGCTGACTCCTCGACCTGTGCTCAGGGATTGCCTCGACCACTCTCCGACCACGGCTCGGGGACTTTGCGTCTCAACTACATGCGACTGGCGACTCGCATACAGTTGGGGTATTCTTTCTCGTTTAGACCTTGCTACAAGGCTCATACCTCGTCTTCCAGCAAGCTCGGGGACTACATCGGTACGATGCACCTGCCGGTGCATCTCATATCGCCTGTATGACGATTGGATTCTCAACTTAACTAGGAATTCTTTTTAGACCCTGGCACCACGTGCCTATGTCATCTACTACCAGGCTCGGGGACTAAGTGGGCACAATTCACCTTGCGGTGAATGTGCTCGCTCTGATGGTTTAAACACCTCCGATTCTACAGGGACGACGGTGTCTCTTTTTGACTCAGAGTCAAAGTGGACACACTTCGAGGGAAATATTTTTCAAATTTTATCTTGAGCCCCTTACATCCTTCTGGAAAGCTCAAGACGACGCTACTCGAAGGATACAAAGCGCTCGGGGACTAGCTGTGGGGGTATGGCCCCCGGTATCCTCAAGACAAGACATGGGCCGCACCATCAGAGGTGGCCCGGCCCATAAGATCGAGGCGTGCACGGCAAGATTACAAGTTGTACTAGATATTGTAATAGTACCAAATATGATACTTTACTTGTAACCCTCCTCCTCCAGACTATATAAGGAGAGGCAGGGGTCCCCCTCAGGGGACAATCCATCTAGATCATCCAGATCATACGGATCATACACATCAATACAATACACCAAAGACACAGGACGTAGGGTATTACGTCAATCAGACGGCTCGAACCTGTCTAAATCGTTGTCTCTGCGCCTTGTGTCACCATCTGGTTCCTGATTACGCGCATCCTACCGATAATCTACCACCACGGGCACCCCCCTCGGTGGACTGCCGACCATATTTCGTCGACAGATAGATTTACCAATTAATCTATATGTTTTCATCCATGTTCAAAGTTTTTCCTCTTTGTATCACTGCTATATCTGTATTCAATATGTGATTATTAGCTGAAATCTTAGCTTAAGTCATATCAGTTCTTGTCAGCTCATGTATCGCTTCATCAAAACCTATATTTTAGTTTTCAAATTTTCATCTTTTTAGTTTATACAAGTTTTTTTAATCAAATTTAGGTTAAAACTCTAGTTTTTTGTACATTTTATTCAAAACTTTACTTTTGTATTTTTATTGAATATGTTCTAGACCACACCCTTAGTTCTAGATATTGAATTTCCTATATTAAAAATTTATGTGTGCATTAGTACCTTTTTATAAATAGAGTGACTACAATTAAACATAAATTTAAACATGTTATAATGTTTCAATCAAAATGTGCAATTTATCTAAAGTGACAACTTACACATAGAGTATTAATATAATTTAAGATGTATTATTACTGTCATTGTTATTTGATTCATAAAAGAACGTTTTTCATGACTACTAAACTATAAAATATATGAGATACATATATAATTGGTCTATATGGTGGCATGCATTATGTATATTTACTTTGGGCTAGTAATTTTTGTATATATTTGTAATGGTGGAAGTGGATATTTAAGAACATATATT